TAAGACATGGTTTTCATGAAAAACGTCGGGTTTTCATGGGTATATTGTCTTATGAAATCCTCGGGTTTCAAAGACACTAAATTTGAAACTACAGGTTTAATTTAGTTTATGAACATTTAGTTCATAAATGAGAGGTTCCTACAAGAATGCAGAATGCAATATACAACTAAGTGTAGTGGATTTGAGTTTCTTCAGGAACTTAAGTGTGAGCGCTTCGGGACTACGAAAGTGAGTCAATGGTTCAAGGTATAGAAATAAATTATTGAATCGTTAATGTCCAAAAGTGATCTTCAGGTCAATAATTTTGGATTCATTATCAGATTAATGGAATGCAGGTCACTTTTAATTAATTCAATAGATCGGGACCAAACAGGGTCGATCGTAGAAGCAAAAATAACTATAACATTCGGGTTAAAATTATTTAAAATGCAACAAATTAGCATTGGATTCAAAAAGCCATATCCCAATAACATTGAGCTTGGATGCCGTGAGTAGGGCACCAAAAATAAGGGGCGGGCTGAAAAAAAATAAGCCGAAAATGACTTTGGGCCGAGAAAATGAAGCAGCCCAGCATTGGGTTGCTGGCTGCTGCTTTAGACAATACGGGCAGCCCAATATGGCATGCAAGCTGTATGCCTGCTGCACAGTCACGGGCCAAGAGAAAAAAAAATGCACAAGCAGAAGGCTTGCTGCTACAACACGGGCCATGGAACAGAAGTCCACCAGCGGCTACTACATGGAGGAGCAACCATTGGGCCGAGTCAGGGATGCAGCTGCAGGCTGCAAAGATAAAAATCAAGCAGGGCCCAGCACGTTTTGGCTTCTAGTAGGCTGGGGAAAACAGATGTGAAGCCCATCGTGCAAAAGGGCTTGCAGGTATATGGGCCGTGATCCGTAAGGAGAGAAGCCTAGCAAGTGTGCTTTAAGGTTTCGTGCACAACAATGCCCAACGGGGGGGTTGTGTATGTGGTAGCGCTGCTTCGCTTGGCTTCAGGCCAGCTAAGCGCAACTTAGCCGCAAAAATCCCAATTTTTAATTCCTTTTTTTTTCGACTCTAGGGTTTGAAAAAACCCTAATTGCTTCTAATTTCTTTCAATTCTTTGACTCACAAATTCCACATAGCAATTTTATTGCGTAATGCATAAAACAAATATATATATATATATATTGACAAATATATGAATATATACAATAAATATATCGGAAGAAAAATATAAACATAGAACGATTCATGCATCATGGGGAATGTTTGCATGCTTCAAAGTCGTTTCACATATCTTACTTTATTTTAAGCGTACCTGATTGGCAGAAAACAACAAAAGCCTTTGAATTTGTCGAATGTGTTGTATCACGTTCAACACAGAAAAATTAAATTGAATCAATAGCATGTAGATCAATTCAAAACAATAAATTAATCACAAAAAGAATGATTAAAACATAATACTCCCCTGATTGAAGAAGAAACTCTCTTTAGCGCATTGTCAAGAGCGTGCTGATAACGTGTTATATGCATAATTTACTGAACAATTATGGAGGCCTTAGAGAGAGGGGGTGCGGCAATAGTAGAGAGAAGAGAGAGATGTGTACTTGTGGGTGTGTTCTATTCCACCTCATTGTGCCTTTATTTATAGTAGTAGGGAAGGTTAATTCCTTACCCTTTAGGATAACAACATTTAACAGGTAACTACTCCTAATAGGAATATAAAAGATATTACAAGATATACTAGGATTTACACAATCACATTCCTAATATAATAGAACTGCAACAATATTCATTATATCTATTGTATTTTATAGTAAGTTTTTAGTAGTTTAAAAAATTAAAATCATCAAAATAACTTTTTTCTTATCGTGTCGAAATAGGTTACCTGTGTGTCACTCTTGTGTAAACCTGTTAATGACCCGTTATTAATAGGTTATTATTGTGTGACCCGATAATGACCCGATTAGTAATCATGTTGATCCGAAACTCGTTATTTTCGTGTCATTTACATGTCGTGTTAACGGGTCGTGTAAGAAATTGTCAGGTTTACTCAATGCCAACCACCATAATAAAAATTCATGGTTTTACAGTTGAAGGACATGTTGGCTCGTTGATTACAATTTCCACAAAGAATCTTTCTTCTTCTAAGAAAGTGCTTGTGGTAGATCTTGTGTTTACTATGATTTGGAGGAATCAACAGCATGTGGGACCCACACGAAAAATAGAATTCAATTCCTGAAATTGGAGGAATTGGACTCCCTCTATGGGTGAGATATTTAGATTCCTGGATAATGAAGGAATCAGGAATGCATTTTTTCTTCCTATTATGCCCTCATTCACATTATGCATAACTTCATGCTCATTCACATTATGCACAACTCCATGCATATGCCGAAGAGAAGAAACTACAATTTTGAACAAGAAAATTTAAATATTAAAGTACATACTTAAATTTATAAAAATAAAAAAAATAAACAAAAGAATTTTAATGTATCTATGAAATAAAAAAGCAATTTAATTTTTTTTCTTACTATTATATATTATATCAAATTTTATTAAAAAATATATATATATAATATTTTATTTGGAACAAGGGCATTTTAGTAATCATACTGGTTTATATTCCGATTATGTTGAATTATGAAACAGCTTTATGGAATTAGTGTCATTTCTATTTCAATTCCAGAACATTTAAGTAAACAGCTTCAATAGGAATCCGATTTTGACTCCTCATTCCAATTCCTCCTCAATTCAATTCCTCCTATTTTTATTACGATTACGTAAACGCGTCATAAATAAGTTGCGCCTTTTGTGTTGTCATGGTTTAAGTCAATGATCTAGAATTCGGAAAGGGATCCGGATCCCTTTCCACCTAATCCATGTAGTCCGGAATCCAGGCCGTTGAAATTCAAATATTTTTACACTCTTTTTAAGCCTTTAGATCACATGATATTCAAGGGCTCTTATTTATTCATTAAATGACATGGATGCTTATGTGGATTTTAACTAATATTAGAGATAAAATAAAACTGAAAAAAAAAACATAAAATCTGGAAAATTGTACACAGTCCTCCGTTTCCCCCTTTGCTGATGTCGTTTTGTAACTTCATGTCTTGGAAACGTAATTGTCATGGAAACGACACTTTGTTCCTTGGAGCACAACTTGGTAAGACCAAAATCTGAGATTTTTTGGTTGAAGTTGTCATCTAATAGTACATTGTGAGGTTTGATATCGAAATGAAAGATTCGTTGGTCACATCCGTGGTGAACTTAATCAATTCCTTTGGCTAGTCTAAGAGTAATATGTTACAATTTCTCCCAACCAAGAAAATGGTTCTTGCTGTCTGCTGACGATATGAGTTTTGCAGTGAACCATTTGGTGCAAATTCATAAACTAAGGCTCGTCTAAATCCATTGGCTCAATAGCCAACCAAGCAAACCACGTTAACATGGTGGATCCAACCTAATGTTGACACTTCATTGATAAACGCTTCTCCATTTCCTTTGGAATTGTTGAGCACCTTTACAGCAACAAAGATCTCACTCAGGAGCTTTCCTTTAAACACTGTTCCAAATGTTCCTTGTCCCAATCTAGATTTATTTGTAATCCGCTTGATATCAACATATGAGTACCTCATAGGCCTAAGAGCTCTGTAGTTTTCCAAAAATTCTTCGATCATGGTTTGCCGCTCCTTTTCTATTTAGTCAATAAGTATGTACACGATGGAAACTGACAGGTATCAGCACAAGTGTAAATGAACCAAAGACTGCACCTACATAGTTTACGTTCAATTAAGAACCTCTACACTAAACTTCAAATTTTCAAAAGTTAAAAAAAAAATTAAAAAAAAAAAAAAACTTTCGTGGTGAATGCATATAGAATGAACCTGTAACAACTAGTTTTTTTTGTGGTACTTGTAGAAAAATTTCAATCCCATTAGTTCTTCATTTGTACCAAATCATTAAATCATTGCATATTTGTTTACAAAACATTCTCAAGTTCTTGATTGTGAATAGAACATTTTGATAACTATGGAGCACGGGGGTCTCTGCTAACCGAACTGGGTCTCTGCTTGCAGGTTGAGCAGCAGGGGTAGTTGCGATTTCTGCAAAGGGGGAGACGAAAATTGCATACAACTAAGGTTTCTTCCTTTTTTTAATTTTAGTTTTAATTTTTTAGATTTTATGTTTTTTCTTTCAGTTTTTTTTTGTTTTTAATATTAGTTAAAATCCACATAAGTATCCAAATCATTTAATGAATAAATAAGAACCATTTGATGTCATGTAATCAAAAGGCTTACAAAGAGTGTAAAAGTATTTGTAAAAATATTTGTCCTTTGATCCTATCCCATGTGTGTGTGTGTATAAAACACTCATTGTCAACCAAAACCCTATGAAATTACCAGTTTAACCCTTTAATTAAAACAGAACATGAATAAGAAATATGGGGTAGAAATGTAATTTCACACAACCAAATTTTGCTGTTTCTTTTTCTTCAAAACCTTACCTACATGTAATCCTAACATATCTTTAATTTAAAAAATAAATAAATAAAAAATAAACCTTCCCACTCCCACATTCTCTATCACTCTCTTCCTCTCTCATTCTATTTTAAAAACAAAAATAAAAAATTTCCTCACACACTTTGTATGTGCCTATATGTTAGTGTGTGTGTGCGCGCGCGCGCGTATATATATAAAGTGTGAAAATCTTCTCAAATTGTCGTTAGAAGGTATTTCAACTGGGTAAGTAGGGAATCAATTTTCCTACACCCAAAATAGATATGGTTTTTCTGTGGCCTTAGTAAGTATTTTTAACACATATTAAATTTATAAACAAAATTAAGAAAAATTAAGATAATTAAAACGTGTCAGTCACTTATTGGGGATACCACATCTACTTCGAATGCAAAAGATTTGGTCTCGTTTAAGTTCAAAATGATGTGTCGTGATTGTATTGGTAGGATATACCTGTTGGCTGGTGTACCGAATCCATCTCGATTACCTGGTGATCAACGGTCAGTGTGGAGGAGTTCACTGCGCACACCCTACGACTGTTCACTTCCTAATTCTCTCTCTCACTGCCCGCCACCTCCCTCGTGTCTCCCTCTGCGAGAAACCCTAATTCAATCAGTCACACTACACCACACAAGATATTCGGATTGGATTCGCGCCACTTCTTAGCTCCTCATGTCTGCTGCATCAGGGGTCAGTCTCACCTCTCTCTCTCTCTCTCTCTCTCTCTACTCATATGTGTGGATACAGATTTATATGTATATATGCATATGTGTGTATTGAAGTTGTGTTTAGTTGAGTTTCAGTAATATGTCTGTGTTCTTGGCCTCTGGTTATTGTGTTGTGTGCAACTCTGTTAAATCTCCAGAATTTTTGAAACCTTAAATCCAGATGATACATTAAGCACTGAATTTGTTTTCAAACAAGAAGCTTATTAGGAAATTACAACAACTGTAACATCGTGCATTTCGCTTTTCAGTCAATAGGGTGAATCATAGTAAAGAGAAAATACAGGGGGGGAAAGTTTGAAACTTAATTGAACAAAATGCATACAGAATTAGGAAGCAGTTTGATATAATCTCCGGACACATGGGTGATAAGTAATTTTGCCTTGAGAACTGGGTTGGAGTTCTTTCCTGATAGACTATCACTAAGTTCTTGTTTTCTGGAAAGCAAAACATTTTTGAAGCGTTATGCAGACGAATATTGACAAATAGCCTCTTCCAGCTTGTCAGTAACGTAGACTAAAGGGAGATTCGAGCCGTTGATCGTTTGGTGCCTTTCTTTCTCCTTCCTAATTCGGTTCGGTTGCTTGAAATAAAACTAAAATGTGCTAGTCTGTGCCGATAAATGACTTTGCTGCTTTCCCCAGTTTATTTCCTTTGTCTTGCTGTTTATTTTGTATATATCATAGGATACTGCACACGCTTATACAAGTGAAATTGTATGTTTCCAAAATTGTAACCTTAACCTATGTCTTTTTTCAGGTTATTTCTAATTAGATGCAGTATCTGTCAAGAGAGGCCTTCCGTCTTCCCACTGTAATAATTGGTAGTGTTTCTTATTCAAGAATCGTCAGTACTATGAGAGAAGTGAAGGTTAAAGGAGTGTCTGGGTTTTGTTCTCTGGATTCTGGTGGAGAATCTCACATCTTACAATCTGAGTCAGCTAGTGAAAGCCATAGACATTCATCCTTAAATGTGCAGTTCACTCCTGAAATAGAAAAGAAGTATGTCCATTATGTTTATGATGCTATCGCACCTCATTTCAGATCGACCCGGTTTGCTAAGTGGCCAAAAGTAGCCAATTTTCTATCTTCCTTACCTTCAGGATCTCTTGTTCTTGATGCAGGATGTCTATATATATATTGTTTATCAAAAAATAATAAAATTGTACGTACATTTTCGTTGTGTCTTGTTGCTACGGTTATGCTGTGTTGTTGGCTTGCTGAAATTGAAATAGCATTACTTGAAGCAAAGAAACCAAACTCATAGGGGGCAAAACCAATCTTTTACATGTCTAGTGCCTATTAGGACAGAATTTTATTGTTCTATTTATATGATTTGTTATGACAGCTGGATAATTAGAGCAATACTTAATAGTGGAATTGTAGAAGTTAAAGTAGTTGAGGCTCCCCATTACAATGGTTTACATCTATGGATCAATAACTGATCAAAAAAGTTCACTCATAAAAAATATTAACGAAACCAAACTCACAGGGGTGTAATATAGGTACCTAGTAGACACAAATATATATATATATATATATATATATGAAACTTTGGTTATAAGGTTATGATCTATGTGTTGCGAACATGTCACCAAATCATCAAAATTTGGTTTACGTTGTCCTGAATGATGAGTTTTTGCTCATCGAATTCGGGTTCATGGCTTGAAGTCATATTATCATAATTTAGTTGGGTGAGAAAGCCATTCACGTTAAAGGTAAAGAGGCCAAATCTAGAAGCAAATGAGTATGAGAAGAAGCCTCATGAGTCTATTGGAACAAGCCTTCCCAGTGGGAGAAGAATCCCCCAATCGTAATGGTAGGCCAGCCTCTAAGTTAGGGAGCACACTCCTTTGATGGTAGTTGCTTCATTTAAGCTCCTCACAACTACCCAGTTGCTTGGTTGATGCAACTTTTATGTGTCCAGTTGGACTTCCGTCTCTATCGTTTTTCCAAAATGAAATAAAACTACCAAGTTGCTTGGATGATGCAACTTTTCTGTGTCTAGTTGGATTTCCGTCTCTATCGTTTTTAAAAAATGAAACAAACAGATAAACCGTGTTAAAGGGTAACTTAAATTTTGTGGCCAGGTCTTAACGTTCTGACAATATACTGTATAACCGATGCTTAACTTCACCCGCTCATTTACTCTTTTGCTGTATTATTCAGATTAGTAGCTGGAATGAAAGACGCTGTAATCGTTGATCGATTTTTTTGACAAATCCAACTGGCGTATTGCTCTCGAAAACGTTATGATAACCGGAACCAATTAACCAATGCGGGTTAAGGTTAGCCAGTGAGTGTGCAGCCTGAAACAACAAAAAGGTGCAGCAGCAGAAGATGCACAAAACAGTGAGCTCTCCTGAAAACTTGTTTGTTTCCAATGTGCCATAGAATAAAACTGCTTTGTGACTGGGGAATTGCTGTTGAATGCCTTTATTAGAGGTGGTTTACATTCTGCAGTTGCAGTAGTCAGCTGTGGTTGATATTGTTTTATGCACATGGAAAGAAGGATCAACATTATTTTGATTTATTGTTTGTAGATTGTCATTAGATACCTCTCATTTACACACTCAATAAGTAGCCTACCTACCATTAGTAACTTGTCTTTCCTACTGAACAAGATGGACAACTTGGACAGTGGAATTTGCTAGGGGCTTTGGACGTGGACGATTTCTGACCATAGATGCATGTCGGCCTTGTTTTTGGATCAATGTGTACTAGTAGTTGGAAATTATTTATACTACATGATTAACGTGCTTATTTTCTATTAGTTAACATATTTACATTTTTAAACTAATTTACACACTCACTAAGTAGCCTACCTACCATTAGTAACTTGTCTTTCCTACTGAACAAGATGGACAACTTGGACAGTGGAATTTGCTAGGGGCTTTGGACGTGGACGATTTCTGACCATAGATGCATGTCGGCCTTGTTTTTGGATCAATGTGTACTAGTAGTTGGAAATTATTTATACTACATGATTAACGTGCTTATTTTCTATTAGTTAACATGTTTACATTTTTAAACTAAATCCGCAAACTAAATTATATGATTGTTGATGATTGGATTTTGGATTATTATTTAAGTATTGACTAATATGCTCATTTTAGGGTAATTCTAGGGAGATCAAATGTTTAAACCAAATTTTGTAACCAAATAATATGAACATTGATTATTAGATTATTACTTTAACATGTTTATTTCTCATCGATGATACATTATTTGGTTTGTAAGTTTATTTAAAGATTGGATTTCTTTAATATTACCCCTTATTTTATATTAATAATACGTCATTTGATTTGCAAATTTAATTTAAAATTTTGATCCCCAATCCTTTTTAAAATAAGAGGCGTGGCTAAAAGTGTGTGAGACTATCCCAAATCCCAATGCCATTGAACGAATCATAAATGGCATTGTTGTGGTTGTGATTGTTCCATTCAAATGGTTCTGGTAATTAAACTCATTTTTAGAGGTGAATTGTCTGCCCTTCTATTTCCATCATCTTCTCATACCTTTCTGTTTTGTGTGATCATGGTTAAGTCACGTCAATATTTTATATTCCTATTACTTTTTGTTTTATTATTTTTATAAAAAAAATCAATTTAAAATATTGACATAGCTTAACTGCAATCACACAAACAATAAGAGATAAGAAAAGTATGGAAATGGGAGGGCAGAAAATTCACCTCCAAAAATGAGTTACCAGGACCAATTGAATGGAACAATCACAACCACAACAATGCCATTTATGATTCATTGAATGGCATTGGGATTTGTGTCTCACAATCCACCTCCCTATTTTTTGGGATGGGATTCAGGGATTGGTACGAACCAGGTCAAAAATATCGATGATATCAGAAATATTGAAATTCCAAAATACGAAAATTTCGATGGAAATATCGGGATATTATCGATAAAAATTGAATAAAAATCACGGAAATTGTAAGAAAAACTTGGAAATTTTTATTGAAACTTTGCAAAATGTTTATTTAGTCAATTATCTATTAGTTTATCACAAAAAATTGGAAGGAAATGCATTGCATGATGGATTTAAGTTGATTATATAGCGAGCTGGCAACATTGTGAGTGTAGAAAATATGTAGTAATTAATGAAAGAAGTTTAAACACACCATTATTTATATATAATGAATTAGTACAATATTTTACACTTTATACATTGCATGGTAAGATACATGAGTGACTTAGTACCACATAGAGTTCCTATCAAGGTCTAAAATATCGATGATATCGATAGTCCAAAAACACGGAAATTTCGATGGAAATATCGGAATAATATCGATATTTTAGACCTTGGTACAAACCACTGAAATCAAACATTTCTAATCCACTATATTCTTTTAATTTATAATATTATTTTAACTATTTTAGTGTTTTAAAATGCTGATAATGTCATCCTAGGTATCTAATTTGTTGGTATCAAATAATTGTTTGTAGCAAATAATGCATTGTTGCTATGTAGTACTACGATTTAGTGATATTTTTTTTTACTTGTAAGTGAGAGATCTTAAGTTTGATTTTTGTGAAAAACAAATTTGAATCATATTATTTCTAGCCCATCATGAGGTTTAATCAACTCTTTCATCCATTTAATGTAAATAACATCGTTTGTCCGAAAAAATAAGCAATGCATTGTTTTTTTTTTTTTTTTGGACAAAAATAAACAATGTATTGTTATGCAATCAGAAACCAGTCATAAAAATTATTGTTGGATGTTAATTTGCTAGCACAAGGTTTCGACCGTTTTTCTTGTGAGGGAAAAAAGTTGGGTTGATATTCTAACTTGTAATATGTTATGATCATATTCATGCAAGAGGCAAGCGGTTGATTGATTTGGTGGTTAGAATCATTTTCTTGAACATTTTGTATTCTTGATTCAAACCCTCCTTCCCCTTTTTAATTTATCTTAAAATAGTGATATCACTTATGATTAATATATTCACGCAAGAGAAAAATGGTCCATGTTGTGATAAACATGATTTTTTTTTTCTTTTCATGTAACTGTATATTACAAGTAAGATGTATTTTATAACGTGTGTAGATTGATAAAACCACATGATAGTGCTACAGTTATACTATTCTCGAATTAATGAGTTTTCGTCGTGTCACTAAGGCGTAGGTGGGAGTCCAACATGGCACTTCTCTGTTGACTTGGGGACTTTAATACACCCTCAGATACACGTAGTGTTTCAAACTAATAATATTATATCAATGATAGAATCTCATGTGCTTGAACCATTGTATTATTGGTTTGTACAAGGTAAGTAGTACTACAGAGGTGCAAATAATGTAATATCATGTGAAAAAAAAATTATACAAAAATAACTATTAAATCGAATTGTCATGTGATAGCGAATTTGTTCCATATATGCAAGTTCCTAATGGTGTGAGTCATTGGACCGGTCATTGTAGCCTTATTGACTACCAAACATTTTTTCACAAGAAGCTTATAGCGATTCTTTTTCAGCAGGAAATGATATTAAAGAACCTGGAAATAAAGTTGCAGTTAGATAGTTAGAGTTTTTTTTTTTAGAAAAACTAATGAAAAATGTTTGAAAATTTTTGAGTTTTAAATATAAGAACAAAATAAAAGGTAAAGTGAATATTATGAGGATTGATTTTTTAGTATAAAAATATATTTTTTTGTTAAAATGAACAGTATCGAGAATTTTTCATTAAAATTTCATTTTTTTTTTTTGAAAATTAAGTGTTTCTGCTAGGGTTAATATGTATTGACGAAGGCGATGCAATAAATTCCAACTTTTTCAGTTCACTAGATTGTACACACGTTGCACTATAGTAATAAATCTATTAATTGTTCGGGACAGTTGACGTTACGTATATCCACACACAAAACATAAAATATGTTGTAATTCCTTTTATTCACTTTAATCCTTGACATTTTTTGCAACAATTCAATGTCATACAAAAATTATTCATCATACAAAAATTATCTATATAAGAAATTAGAAAATTTTAAAATAATTAAAAACAGAATTGTAGTAAAAAAAGACTATATGATACTTTAAAGACACTAAAATTAGACTAATTTAGACTAATTTAGACTAATTAATCCAACGGTCAAACTCACCTTTTGCTGAATAATAAATTAAAATAGCAATATCACTTGCATATCTTAAATATATTTATTTAAGTGATCTTTCACCTGAAATTCATTTTATTATAAGATTTATAACTAACAATGGTATTTGAAATTAACTCACAAAATAATCACTGAAATTGAAAATCGATTAATGTAATTCCTGAAAATAAATGTTACAAATCAAAATGATCACAACTCTATCAAAAAATTCAGTTATGTGGTGATGTGACATATAAATGAGTTCCACAAGTCTAATTAAATTAAAAATAAATTGGAAATAGGTTTAATACTTAATTAAAAAGGTTGTCAACCTAGAAACCCAGTCTCGCAATCACCTCCAATCTCAACCCACACTCCTCTAACTCCTTCCCTTTGCCATCTCTTCTCTGGAAAAGAAATTATCAAGACGCTCATCTTTACACCCTTTGACACGCTTCATCGAATTGGACTAGGATCGAGACCAACTTTGATGACAACTTGGATTGGAGATGACTTATGTGACATCACCATTAACATTTGGGCAATCAACATCCTCACAACCTTAATCTTGGAAAGCTTGTTGGGCGCTCCCCCGGTAATCTTGGTGACACGGAGAGCGGCGAGTTTTGCCTTGAGATAATCACATTGTGCAAAAAGGTACTTTGAAAACTTTTTTTTAATTAATTATCAAATTTTAAACCCACATCAGCACATAACAAAAACTTTAACAGGATTATGATTGAACGACCATATTATTTTGCAACACCTATTTTTAGAGATTACTTTGATCGATTTTCAATTTCATGGACCATCTTGATGGTGTGAGTAAATTTCATGGATCATTTGATAGAAAAACTCGTGAGTCTTGTGGGACTCATTTATGTGTCATATCAGCATATAACAGAATTGTGGCGAAATTACCACATTGATTTGCGACACCTATTTTCAGGGATTATATGGATCAATTTTCAATTTCAAAGAACATCTTCATAGTGTGGATCAATTTCAAAGACCATTTACAATAAACACCCCTTTTTATTTAAAATCATTATTCAATGACTCATATAAGATTTTGTATTGTCCAAAAGTTAATTACTTACCTCGCTAATTGCTGAATTAATTTTCTTGTTGGATGTTGAGATTGAAGGAGATGTGGATATCTATATATGTAATACGAACGTGGCACAGGTTGGATAATCATTTGAGGATTGAGATTTTGTAACCAGCTCACATGACATGCCAATTTGTTTTGAAGGGTAGTTTTAATTCGAATGTAAACTGTAAAAAATAAACGTAGTTACTAATACTTTTTTCCCCAAATAAAAGCATTGAGTATATATGTTTAATATATGTTTATGCATGAAGATTTCTTATGGTTTCCGTAACCAACATCAAGTGCATAAGTTGTTATCAGCCCCAATGAGATCAAAACAACT